CATTAAGTCATTTCCCACTTGAACTTTTGTAAATATATCAGGCACTAATTCTTAAATTCCAAGTAACCGGTGAAATGCCGTTTCTACAAGGAGTTGGCTGCTGCTTGCAACCGTTTTCTTCTTCTTTCTTTCTTTTTTTATGATATTTCAAGCATCAAAGCCTGTGTCCACAAACCACCAATCGTCGTCGGCTTTGAGGCTGCTTTCTCCTTTCGGTTTCCTACCTGTTCTCTAGCCTGTCACTCTTTATGTTGTCGGGGTTTCTCTTACACATATTCTTCACATTAACTGACAAAAATAATAACCTTCATCCCGACACTGCCTAATTTGAGTATGAAAACGAGCCCTTTATAACTTGGGTGTGTTGTCGTACATCTGGCAGCGTTGCGAGAATCAGAGTCCCGTACGACACTCTTTACGACGTGACAGAACTGTTTTGTGATGCCCTGTGGGATAGCCCGGAAATACGCGACCTCAAGACACTGATCTCAAGAGCGTAATGCCCGCTTGCCATCTCTCCTTCGTCTCTTCCGTTAACGTAAGACCAACACCTTGGCGGCCAGTAGACCTCGAATACCCAGTCGTCGAGTTGGGTCCAAAGGACAGCAGTTCGAGATCCAAATGCCAATCCATCAGATCGTGAAATCTGACGTCACTCCGGCCGCTGAATTATCGGCTTAATTCAGGCCAATTACGTCTCTTCTTTCTTTACGTTTGTGTTCAAATTTTACAGTGGCCTTGCGTCTCTTCAATTAATCCAACTTACATTTTTTTTTAATGTGTTTGTTTTTTGAGTCTCTTTTCTTCTTCTCACGTGTGTTTCTTTTTCATTTTTACTTTCTTCATAATATAATGTTTCACTTGACAGCACAAGTAAGTATCTGCTGGAAAGCTTTAATCTCAGTCAACTTAACCGTCGGTATGTGTGAGGTGATTCAAGGAGCTTAATGTGTGTGTGTGTGTATAGTGTATTAAATCGGTATTATATGCCTGCGTGGCCCCACGTGGAGGCTTCAGTGGCCACGTGGCGACACGCCCTGAGCGGCGTGCCCACAACGGCTGGTCGGTTCTCCTCGCCCCCCAAGCCAGCGTCTCGGATACTTAAGGCCGCGTTCTGACCCGGTCAACGGGAGTGTGACTGGCGCGGTCAAGGTCACAACAGCCCGCTGGGCCGGGTCTGCCGTGGAGGTGGGCTGGCCAGTGACCCCAAGTGACCAGCCATAACCCAAGACTGTCATACTTGTGTTTATTCTCTGTGTGCTTTCTCTTATCAATAAAGAGATTTTAAGCCACTAAGCTTTTACTATCCCTGTCACCAATGTTTAGAGGTCTTATATTAACTCTTACAGTTTGTGTGTATTTATATACGTGTGTGTGTATACAATATACTGTATACAGACCACGTGGATGCTTGTACCAGCAGCGTTGTCGCCCACGCTAGCTACCTGCCGGCTTGGACGCTACCTAGCCTCGTTCCCCATGCCGCCAAGCCGCGTGGCTTGGAGGAATGCTACCTACCCTCGTTCCCCAAGCCAACGCTCGGATATTTAAGGCCTGCAGATGATCCCTGAAAGCAGAGTGTTCTGAGCCGAGGTGGGTCACGCCTGACCCCGCGGCCAGGTTGCCGTTTGGCGTCTGACCTAGGCGCCCTCGCCTTAACCCAAGCCTTGTCATCTTGTGTTTCAACTCCGTGTGCTAGCTCTATCAATAAAAGAGTTTTTAGCCACTAAGCTTTTACTAATTCCCTGTCACCAATGTTTAGAGGCCCTTCAATACCCCTTACAATCTGGTGACAGCGGTGGTTGTTGCGTGCCCGGCCGGCTATCCACCCCTTCCCACACCCTTTACAGTGGTGGCAAGCGGTGGTAGTTGCATCCTTTTGGCATGCAACCGACAAGCTCCTCCGAAGACAACCACTCGGCTTCGAAGAATGCAAGATGACATCTTCAAAAACCGTGAGTACACATTTATGGCCCCCTTCTCTTTCATTTCTTTTCTATTTTTTCCTAAATGTGTTAGGCCGTGTACAGCCAGCTCACGTTATTTTTTTTGTTGGGTTAAAGTGCTAATTACAAGCAATGGCATACTCTCATTCTCATTTCTCACTTTCTAACCTCACTTCTCATTACTGTCAATAGCGGTATGGAGTTAAGCAGTATGAAATCGTTCATATATTAAGCGTCTATTTAATTTCTTTTCGTGATTAAATTATATTGTTTCAATTGTATCGAATTTAGCGCGTTCGTGAATTTATTCTTTCACGAACATTCATTCATTAAAATCTTTTCTCCCCATTTCCTGTTTTGACCTGACCTCACGTGAAAGTCATTAAGTCGGCCTCCCTAAACAGCTGGTAGCTCTGACCTGCCTTGACCTTGGGTGATTGTCACAGTGATATGGCTGAGAAAACAGCTTGCAATTCCCGTTTAATTGTTTGAACTAGTTGTTACAATATAGGGTTAATGCATAGCAACCGTTACATGTTCATGGTGACAAATTCTATCGGCGCTAGAACGGAACTTGTAACGCGACTTCTATAATTTAATGCCAAGAGGTATCCTCATTGAAAGGTTGCAATTATGCGTAATAACTCGCGTATGAGAGTAGGTTAAGGTAACTGAAGTAAATCATACGTTCGGCAAACTTTGGGCCAGGGTGACTGCAATTATGTCCATTAATTTAGGACTAGGATTTAAGTCTGATTTAGGATCCGCTTAATTAATCACAACCCGCTCACACTTACATATATATATATATATATATATATATATATATATATATATATACATATGCGTGTGTATATATACATATACACATGCTCACACACACATATAATCGTGTGTGTATATATATATAGATAGGTAGATAGATAGATAGACGGACAGAAAGATAGATAGATAAGTAGATAGAGAGATTAGATATATAGAGATTATTATTATTGTCATTATTGTTTTCATTGTTATATTTGTTGTTGTTATTATTATCATTGCTATTATCATCATTATCATTATCATTATCACTATTATTGTTACTGCTATCATCATTATTGTTATTATTATTATTATTATTATCATTATCATTATTATCATTATTATCATTATTATTATCATTATTATTATCACTGTTAGTTGTTGTAGTAGCAGTACTACTATTATCATTATCATTATCAACATTATAGTTGATAATATTACTACTATCATTACTATTATCATTATTATCATTATCATTATTATTACCATTATTACCTTCATTATTATTATTCCTGTCAGTATTATTATTATCAGTATCATAAATATCATCATTAATGATAATGATAATCATATTCATGATAGGAATAATAATAATAATAATGATAATAATAATGATAATGAAATTGTTATCATTATTATCATTATTATGAATAGGTTGATTGCAGGGGCGTCATTTAGGAGGGGAGCCAATTTCCTCACTCAGTCACTCCCCACACATACATACACACACGTACACACACATGTACATATATACACACATGCATACATGTATATGTGTATGTATGTGTGTGTGTGTATATATGTATATATATGTATATATATTTATGTATATATATACAAACACGCACACACACACACACACATACACACACACACACACACACACACACACACACACACACACACACACACACACACACACACACACACACACACATACACACACACACACATATATACATACTTGTATATATGAATATATGTGTATATATGTACACATATATATGTTTACATATATGTAAATATATATGTATATATATTTGTATGTGTATATATATATATATATATATATATATATATATATATATATATATATATATGGTTTTGATAGCCTCTCACAGTTTCTGTAGCAGTGAAGCGTAGAAAACTTCTGTAATTGTAGCATCTTCCCCTCCCCCCCCACCACCACCACACACACACACATATTTATAATCAAGGACAGATAGTTCAGACTTAAACAGCTGTGACCAGTGACCTTATGTCTCTCGTGACCACGTGCAACACAGCAATTCTGTTGCAAGTGTCGCGAAGTGGCGAGATCCTTCACTCTGTCCCGAGTGTTCCTTTGAGACCTTGATCATCGAGAGACTAAGGAGAGGCACTGAAGTTCCCGTTGCTTTCTTCAGTAGCAGTTTCTACACTAAATGGGTGATCCTTGACCATCGATCATGGCGTGGTAGTTCTGTTCTTGCTTGAAATCCACATCCAACACATGCTAACCGGGGATTCACATATCCCTGATCGGTTTACCTGTAGGCAATGAAAGTGAAGTTCCTTGCCCAGGGGAACTTCGCGCCGGCCGTTGACTCTCGAACTTAGATTGTCGTGAGCGTCTTTGAGTCCGACGTTCTAACCACTCGGCCACCAACTGAACAGAATTGTGTGTATTTAGGTGGATAATGAATGAATGAGTAAGCTGTACATTTGAGCATGAAGGTATGTATATGCAGAGAAAGGATAGATAAATCAGTAAATGGTATATTAGATGTATCAATTTATGAAGTATACTCAGTGAAACCCAAATGAAAATAAAATTATTTGAATTAAAGTGTATTTCTAAATTTGCATTTGATGAATGTGTCATTCATGTGGTTGTGAATTAAGAATTGATCAGTCTCAATTTGTTTATGTCAAGAAGACCGCCATAATAACTTTGTTATTTGGCTAAATCATTTTGCTTCTGTGCCATGTTCAGCACAGAAACGTGTATTTCTTCACTGTATTCTAACATAGGAGGGACACCAAACATAGTTCACTGAGCACACAATCATCGCTTTACAATTTATTAAGAACTTCACACTATACGTTATATTTCGTAAGTAACAAATACAGAATTAAAGGTCCGTGATTTACCACCGTGAACGAAGCTTAACAGAGAGGGAAAGAGAATTGACACAGATGCAATTGGACGGCTTGTTCATGCCTTACCTACTAATTTTCTTCCTGCCTAAGTGGTGGAAACACATCTTA